CTGGCTCCCCGCCCGGCCTCAGGAATGGTGGCACGGCGCCATCTCCCCTCATCCACAGACAGCACAGGGTAGGCGCGACGGAATGGGCCGCTGCCGCCTCCCTGCTTGGCCACCCTCGGAGCCAGTGCATGTCGGCCTGGGCCTCCTCTTGGCTGGTGGCAGTGGCATGGTACTGTCTGGGGCCTGCAGGCCGAGTGAGGGTGTCTGGCCAGTGGAGCACCCGGGCCGGGCTGCGGCTCGAAGGAAACTGAGGGCAAAAGAGTGGTCGCTGCCTCCGTGGGCAGGAGGACACCCACACAGGCAGCAGCACAGCGAATGGAGAGAGACGCCCTGTGAGTGACACACCAGGGCGCCAACCAATTCCGGAGTGTGTGGAATGTTCTAGAGAAGTGCCACCACCATTCGGCTTTTATTTATAAGGGAGATTGTATCCCAAACATCCTTCCTCTAATCCATCAGACTGAAGGTCTAGTAGAAGGCTGTACAAGCTATGCTGCTATCTAAACAGGCTCCTCCTGCATGGGAGTTAGAATGCATGAAGTCCATTGTTGGGTGTGATTATCTGTCCCAGCTCACAATGGTCACTTGTTTTCAGCAACTAACTCTGTGTGCAGAAACCCTCAGCATGGGGCATGCTGTTGTCAGAACAGGATGATTGTGTAGAAACAAGTTCAGCTCAAATCTGTGGGATTTACTTTCACATAAATGTTACTAGGATCAGATACAATGCAGAATGATCCTATATCAGTGTCAGTATGATACAAGTAAAGTCCTAAAGTTCGACCCCCAGGTTGTTTTCTGACAGTTTTCTTTTAGGAACCAATTTGGAGTCAGATTCTTTGACTTACGTAAAGCTATTAGATAAGAGTTTGGCAAAAAGAATTTGTCACTGGAGGGGGGAGCTGGAGGTTGTTGACTGAAACTAAACAGTGGTTCTGCAATGTCCTGGGAAACCATAGCATGAATGAATCTGTTCAGTGACACCTAACAGCTTTTCCCGTAGTCACAGCAACACTTGTTCCAGCTGCCACGATCACAAGTATAGCTGTGTCTGTACACATGCACAGCCTAGTTTAATGCTATCTTCCCTTTGTACAGTTGTAGGCATGTGTAGCAGAGGAGAGACTTCAAAATGTGCTTATAAAATGGCTATTAGATAAGAATTTGGCAAAAAGAATTTGTCACTGGAGGGAGGAGCTGGAGGTTGTTGACTGAAACTAAACAGGATACTAATAAGGCATATTATATTTGTTGATTTTTGCTTCCATTCTTTTCCAAATAACAGTTTTACTAAATGTTGGCCAAAGTTTGGAAAAGTAGTAATTTCCAAATGTAATGAAACCTGCTCTTTGATTATAGGTAGCCTTAATGCCAGCTGTATGCATTTGCTTGGCTTGCCTGCTAGTGAGCTTAAACTCCACTCTGGAAACTTCAAAACACTTCTTGTTTCCATGGTACAATGGTGATCTTATTGCCATCATCTTTTCCACTCAGGTCTGAAAGTTGGTTGACTGTGGTTCTTTTCTTTCCATCAGTTTCCCTGTATATTTCTAATTGCAATTGATGATGTGTGCAGAAGGCAAGTGGTTGGAAGAGGAAAAGGGCTCATGCAATTTATTTCAGTCAGTTTTCTGATTTTTAGGCTAGCCTAATTTAGTTCATTGTTCTCTGCCAAATTATTATGTTGCTTTCTGCCAAGTTGTTATGTTAGGAATGATTGCACATGGCAATCGTATGGATTCAAAAGGGAGGAAAAATGAGATGGCAATTTCCTAACACAGCAAAATTGACAAAGGGAAAATTTTCAATGCCAAGAGTATTCTAAACTTCATCTTCTATCACAGAGACATCTTGTATTATGGAATGTGTATTCAAAATCTTTGCTAATCAATATTATGGCATATGTTAGCCACATTTGGCACCTATTTTTGGCTTGCCTAAGGCTCCATGTAGGAAAGATTTCCAGTATGTTTTCCAGCCCTTTATGATCACAGATAAATTGGGAGACGATCTATATGTTTCAAATGTGTTATAAAATTGTTTTGCTTCCAGTAGAAAATATTTGTTCTGCCCGAGCCAAATGTGTTCCAAACCTTCCTATATGAAAAATAACCCAAAATCAAAGGTGTTTTTGGCTCTAGTGTCTTTCATTACCTTATGAAAACTGATAAAGCCAATAGTAGAATTAGGGGTGCCGGACTTCCCAGTGGGGGTAGCCCTCGCTGGTTTCAGGTGCTCCTCTCTGCTGGCAGGGGTGAATTACGCCTCCCCCAACAGACAAGAAGCCGGAAATAAATGTGCGGTGCCTACGCCACCTAGAAGTGAAGTAGGCACATCGGTGACATCTGGGGGTGACGGTCCGGTTTGCGGGCAAAACTGTACGGTAGAAGCTAATTCTGCCATAGAGGTTTTGCCCACAAACCAGAGTGTCGCCCCCAATATGTCTACGTTGCTTCTGGGTAACATAGGCATGTCACATTATTTCTGGCTTCTTCCCTCCTGCTCCCAGAAAGTTCACACCCATCCCCCACCGGCTGGTGTGACGGACCTGGCAACTCTAAATGGAATAGCTGAAATTCAGGAAATTCTGTCTGGTAGAAGGAGGCTGCAGTTTCTCTTTCTTATTTTGTGATTTTTCTGAACAAATAAGCAAAAAGCCCTAAACCGCCTCACAAAGTTGTAAAGAGATTATTGATGGAAATAGAGAAGAAAGTGTAAAGGCCAAGTAGTATTTTCTGCTTTAAACTGAGATGTTGCAGTTGTAAAATATTTTCTTGCCCTCATGTTTGATGAGTTCCCCAACTCTTCTGTCTTTGGACATTTTGAAGTGTTGGGTTTTGTTTAATGTAAAAGTTTTCCCCTAATACTCTGGTATCGTTACTGTGTATTTCTATGCCAAGAAGTAATAATATGGTTTGGCCAACTTGGGAGGAGAACTTTATTGTTTCGACTACATTATTTGTATATATCTCATTCTTCATTTTTTCAAGTGGACTTCAAGTTAAGTGGATTTTTTCAAGTCCATTACAAATCTAGGATGGACTAGCCTGCAATCAGGGTATTCTTGACAAAGTGACAAAGTGACTAGGGTCAGTGAACAGAACCCTATACATCTTTGTCTGTTTGCACTTTAATTAGTAACTTAAAAGCTCTCTACCCAGATCTCATCTCGTGGTTAAACAGTGCTTGGACTTTATTACTTCATTGTGAAGGTGTGAGATTGTTTGAATACATAAAGCTTTCTTATATGGAATCAATCCATTAGTTTATCAGTGTCAGTACTGTCTTCTTGCTAGAAAACACAATAATGCTAGGAAAAGTTGAAGGCAGTAGGAAAAGAGGAAGACCCAACATGATATGGATTGACTCAGTCGAGGAAGCCATGGCCTTCAGTTTGCAAGATCTGAGTGATAGAAGATATTTTAAAGGTCACTAAACTCGCAGGGTCACCAAACATTAGGAGTGACTTGACCACACATACCATGCTCTAACTGGCAGTAGCTCTCTAGGGCCTCAGGGTCTTTGACACCACCAAATCCTTTCATCTGGAGATGTCTGGTATTGAGCCAGGGTGCAAAGGAGGAACTCTGCCACAGCCCCACTCCCTGATTGATGGAAATCTCCCCCATGGGAGTTTGGAAGAGGGAGAAGCCCCATGCACCAAAAATCTGTATGGAGTATGTCGAAAAGAGTGTTAGTCTAGACATTTTCCAGGTACAAGGAGTTATGTTATACATTTAAAAAAATATATAAATAATAATATCATTACAATATACAAATTAATATATGAATATGATGGCATCCTGTACTCCCCTGTTCAAAGTGAGATGTTCCAGCAATTTGACTCTCTTGGTCTAGAGAGTCCCTCCTATCCCAATAAATTTGTGTGAAGATTATTTCCAAATTGTAAGTTAATGGGCACAATCCAGCTAAAATTATTATTTTTTTAAAATCCTATGGATTTCAGTGTAGATTTAAACATGTTTTGGGTTAATTTCTTGGCACACTCACCGTGACATCTCATCACTTACTTATAATCATATAGGATACTATGTGACTGTAGTTTTGGCATTTCCCCATGTGTTCTTTATGTGAAAACACTTCCATATGACCTATTCAATTAATGGTTATCTCGGCACGTATAAATTGATTCTGTTTAGGAGCAGTCAGGGTACCTGGTGCTGGTTTTAGTGCTTATGAGATTGTTTTGCTACAAATTTGCATGTTTTAATGTGTGAAAAATGAGAATTTTTATTTAATGGAATTTTGAATCTAAGGCTGCTAGTCCATTAAGAAGTGAATTGCACCAGTTGTTATATACAATTCATACCCCAGAAATGATACCCTGAATAGTTGCATTGCTTTGTTAGAAGTTGCTGTGTCAAGACTCAAGAGTAAAATGCTGTGACACAAAGAATCTAGTTTCTTGTGGGTGATCTGTCAAGGTGAGAATTGGCTATTCCAATCCCTCAACACAAATTAACAAAGCCAAATCTCTGTCTATCTGAGGAAGGCTTATTATGAAATGTCAAAGAACTTTTTAATTTGATGAACGGTGCTATAAAACATCCTGTTATGGTAAATTTATTCAATTACATTGAAATGTAGAGACATGGTTTATTAGTTAGTTCCTTACTTAGTCATCTCAAAATACAATAAATTAGTTACAACAAGATTGCTACAATCTGCAATGAATATTAATAGGAATATATGATAACTAGGGATTTAATCTTTGTGCTTTTGGTATCCAGGGTTGTCTTACTGGTACACTAGACTGACTTATTTTAACTGTCTGATCAGTCAGATAGATGTGTATATATACAAATATTTGTGTTCTTCTAAATATCTTCATTCTGTTACCAAACATGCCCTTGATGTACAAAGTATCTTGGAGCAAGCTGCATTTGCATGTATTGCTTTATGGATGTCTGGTTTATTCCTGTGAAATGACCAGGTCTTTCTCCTCTTTCCTTCCACCCTCTGTTGCTTCCTTGATATAGCTTTCACTCCCAGAGGAACAGAATGAAATAACAAGAAATGGCTGTGAATCCAAGGAACTTGTCTACCTTGTACAGATCTCTTGTCAGGTAAATGCTATAGCCCTCTCCCTGTTTTGATGTTTATGAAACGTGGCATGAGATGCACAATATTTTGATGTCTCTGTTTTTTTGAATGGGAGAAGTACTGTGGTGTTAATGAGGAGGGAAAAACTTATATTGCAATAATATATGTCCTAGAGATACAGATTTGCATCTATCTGTGCAGTATGTATCTGTATTGTATTTTTATTGTGCTTTATTTGCGTGCTTAAATCAGCCAATAAAATGATGGTTTGGGAATTAGCAATGGACTGTAGCAACTTGATGGAAAATTTAACAAATGTTCAACTGTGGGTATTGAACAAAGCTAGTTAGGGGGTTAAGATAGGGTGTTATTTTGAGAAATGCAGATGAGTCCATTGATAACTGAAATTTTCTGACCTTATGCTTAGAAGCTACTGAAAGGAGACATTTTGAATGTTAACATCAAGGTTTCACTGATGGTAGATTCTAACATGGAAATGAGATATTAATATTTTGGGTTCATTTTTATAGCTCCAAGTTTTACAGACAAGATTTGCAACATCAACATTCTTTCATTGAGTTAAGTGAATTAGCCTGTTAGAGAAATTGCTTCTGTGCTTGGCAAAATACCCTTAAGGATAAAAGTCAAAAGGTGGATAACACTATAGACTCTTTCTTTCTTGCTCTTAACCCATCTATTGTACAGTACCCCCATGTTGCAACCATGGAAAAACTGGGTGGGTTATTATTCGGATTATCTGTATAGTATTTCAAAGAGTCTTGACTTAAATAGCAGTTGCTGGTATGTCTGAGGTATCTCTTCTGTTGAAAAGTCTGTAGAATAAAATGCAAAACACAGAAATACTAGTCATTTACTGCCATAGGACACTGGGGAGGAAACAACATGTTTGTAGGCAATTTTCCATATATGTTTGTTCAGTCTCTGAAGCAGACAGCAAAGAAAACTTGTGAACCTTCCCACAAAGCAGATTCTGTAGGTTTGTCTGTTTTGATCTGTTGAATTCATACTTGGTTTATTTTGCATTGTCGTTACGATGTTGCAAAATATGCTAAAACTATATAGAGATCAGTCCCTCTGGAGAAAACAGTGGACTCTGTCATTAAACCCTGCTGAGGTCGCCACAGGAAACTGACACTGTTTGCCCAAAGCCAGAGCACTCTCCCAGAGCCTCTTTCTAGATCCCGTTGTTACGATGTTGCAAAATAGCATTATTTCTAGTATTTATATATGTCTCTAAATGCTGACACAGACTTATTTTAAAAATGAACTTTGATGGAAGACAGGAAGATGGTTTCATGGTTATACAGAGTTAATTTTTTGAAAAGTGTTCTTGGCCATCAAGATTTTCAGCTGCAGACTAGATGTTAAATTTTAAAAGTATTGTAATTGTCAACAGCAGGATTGCAAAACTAATTGAGTCCACATGTATCTGCTTCAGCCAAGTGAACTACGTTTAACAATGTGAGAATTTACATTTGATATCCTTGGAGTCCTTTAAAACTGTACCCTTAATAAACATGCATGGCATCTATGCATACTTGCATGTAGTGCTATAGTGAATATGAATATAAACATCAATTGAGATTCCTCCAGCCCACTAAAGCGGCTGCATATTCCATAGTCATCCTATGCGAGGAATTTAGTATATGCCCTTAATTCAGTGTTCTGAGAACCCCTACTTTCTATCAATCTCTTTTTTTTAAAGAAAAAAGAAGATGCTAATTCCTGTTCTTAAATGATCATGGAAACATAATGGGGCATACTCAGTGAAATCTAAGAAGCCACAGGAGAGGTACCATGATTTCCAGTGAGTAAGTGGTTGGGTTTTGGCTTCTAGCATATCTTTTTGTTCACTTCCTTGTGATGAGAAGAAGCAGCATAAGCTATGCAGAGAAGAAAGAAAAGGTGCAATGGGAATTATATTAAGTATGCAAGTATATGCACATTTGCTTATTTTATAAAATTTATGGTTGTAGCAGTAAACTGCTTTTGTTGTATAGAATTATAATATTGTCACTGTAGCATATACAACATAAAACCTGATTTGTAGTGGATATAACTATCTTGTGTTCGTTCCTGAGTTGCCTTCCGCACAGTCTACGCACAACTATGGGTGCCAACTGCATAGCTCAGATTTTAAAATCATGTGAACTGTTTCTACCTATGCACTCTCCACAGTTCAGGTCTGGCAGGCAGCCAAGATGCAGCAGTATTACAGTGATGGGAAGGCAATTGTCACAGTACCTGCTGGTGGAATATGGAGGTATTGTCAAAAGCAGTATCAGGAGGCAGGACTGGCACATATTAAGCTGTTTCTGCAGCTGCTTTGCATGGCTGCTAGGGAAAAGGGTGCCTTTTGGGGGGCTAGATTTCTGCGTTCCCAGCCATATTTTGCAATCTCAGATCGGTGTCATGGGGAGCTGTGGTGTAGATTCTCAAGCACTCATCTGCGATCAGACAAAAAAAGTTGAAAAGCCATTGGGGGTGGTGGAATACTCAATGCATAAACATAAGCTTGAAATGGATGCCGATGATGGGCTTGTTGCAGTATTGTGTGAAACTCAATATCAAAGTAAGCCATTGGAAGAATATTACCTTGTTAATTGAAGTCTAGAAGCCTAATTTCATCAGCTTGGCCTACATCCATATACCTTTCTCAGAGGTTCTAATGTTTGGGAGCATTTTTGTCTGTGCAAATGACAGTAATATCATGAAAACAAAAAGAAATGAGTTGTTGGCTGGAAAATCTTATTAGTCTCTTTTCTGAAACTACTGAAGTTTGTCAATCCAGTCCACAGCAGATAATCAGGCAAAACATTTCAAACACTGCACTTTTAAATGTAGCCAGTAAATTCTGTTACTGGGCAGAGGCCCATTAAAGTTTGTAGTCTGGAAACTCTTATGGTGTGGTGGGCATTTTCCCATAATGAGTTTTTAAGGTAAGCCTTTTTCTTGTTATTAAACGTACTATTGTACAAGTAATTGGAAAGTTGCTTGGCTTGATCAGACTTTTTCCCCCTCCCTAAGATTTCACCAGGGGAAAGATACTGCTCCCTTGCTTGATCCCCTCCATGTTGCTGGTTCAGGTGCAACCTCCCCCGCCCCAGTTCAGTATAAGATCTCCCACTTCAGCTGTTCACTTCCTCCTTAGTAAGAAAAAGTGCATTAACTTCTTCCTGATCTCTCAGAAGTCATAGGTAGCCTGATGTCAGTATAGAGCACTGACAGACAGAACTGATTTCCAGTTCTGGGGATGTATCAATGTTTGCAGCCTATGATGGGTGAAAAGACTGTTTCTGCTAAGATGAGTTTTGGAATCTAATAGGTGAATTCTGACAGTGATTAATTAGCCAGACATCTATGCTGTGTTGGCTCCTCCTTAGATTTGCTGTCAATATGCTTCCTCATTTCCTCACAGATGAATTTGCAGGGTGTGGGCAAAACACCACCTGTGCCTTCTCTTTCATGTAACACACAGTTTTGGTTCAGTTGCATCTAATATTTGGCTTGAATTACACAGTGGTCTTCTAAGGATGGAAGGGGTAATAATTTTCACTGATTTCCCCCATCTACGCCGCCACCCCCCGCCCCAGGCAGCATTTCAGAGGGTATTTGGTAGTGCAGGGGGATGTGGAAAAATCTCACACTGTGCACAGAAATCCTTCCCAGCCACAGAAATCTGTAGTGGATCCAAGCATCTTTCTTTATCCCTTTTCTGAACTACAGTCCTAAGGTTGTGCAAAACAAAAAAATTAGTATTTTTCGGGTTCAGGTATATTGAACCTGAAAAATATTGGTATTTTCTGATGTTTCCAAATCCCAACCATTATAGTCAATGGTCCTCATAGCATATAATGGGGACTCAATCCTGTGGTATCTGAGGCTCTGTAGGGGCTGTTTTTTGAGGTAGAGGCACCGTGGTGCCTCTCCTAAAACCTCTCCCCCAAGTTTCAAAAATATTGAATCAGGGGGTACAATTCTATGGGCCCCCAAAGAAGGTGCCCCCATCCTCCATTGGTTTCAATGGAGGAAAAAGGCATTTAAAGGTAAAGGGATTGCAGTCCCTTTAAATACTTTCTCCAAGCTGTGAGTGAACTCTGAAGGCATTTAAAGGGCTTTCAGTCCTTTTAAACACCTTTAAGTGGGTGAGTTCACCCGAAAGGCGTTTAAAGGAACTGCAATCTCTTTAAACAGCCTTTAAGTTCGACTATCCAGCAGTCCTGAAAAATCTTGAACATTTTTGGGATTTTTGGTGCTTGGCCATTTTGGATAGCCGAAAAAATATCCAACTCTGTATCTGACTAAAAGAATAGCTGACAAAATACCGATAAGATATTTTTTGGCTATTTTTTCAACTTTGATATAGCTGAGTGCACACCCCTATACAGTCCAGAGTATACTCTATTACTAAGTTAAATCTTGTTGGTTTTGAATTCAAGCCACATAAATATGTTTTTGGCTACATGCTGACTGTCATTTCACCTTCCTTCTTGCACCATTTGGTTTGTAGCTGAACTCTTTTTTGCAATGTTCCATCAGTGGAACCTGCGGGCCACATTTCTGCATCAAACATGTCCAGCTTCTTCTAATGCTGGGGCTCATACTTCAAGGATCTGGTAGTGGTGTGTGGAGTTCCAGTACTGTTGAAACAAGGAAGAACTCTCCTTTTTGTGTTCTATATGTATTTTAGGCAAAAATACATTTTGGGATAACTCCTGGAGTGCCCAAGTTATCCCAATTTTGTCATATCTCAAAAGCTAAGCAGGGTTGGCCCTGCTTAGTATTTGGATGGGAGATCACCAAGGAATTCTAGGGTTGCTGTGCAGAAGAAGGCAATGGCAAACCCACCTTGTATAGAAATATTTAGAAATATTGATTCCTATAGCTTTCATGTATCCCTTGGGTAATTCTTTTAACCTTCACACACACACACACACAAGTAAATCAAGTATTTAATAGAAAGTGAATCATAATAATATTTTATAGCACTGTGAATTTATCA